TATTAATGGCTGAATCAATATTTTTGTATCTATACCAACTATACAATATTTTTATCATTCTTGCTGTTTTTTTGGTTTTATATGTTTTTATTGTCTTCTATTTATTTTTAATTTTCACACTTCCACTATGTTTTTATATCTGTCATATCCTTTTTTCTTATAATGTGTTTAGTCATGGCATGTAATCGTCATATATCGTTGCTTTGCTTATCTTGGAGCACATTGAGTCTGAAATGTGCTAAATAAATAAACTTGACTTAATGTGACTTCTTGCCCTCCTGGCCCACAGGACACATCATTCATAAAATGTGAACTATTTTACTTGTTGCAATGGTGAGAGACTTTGTTGATGTCCAGACATTGAGCTTTGGATTGCAGGTATCTAGTTATCTAAGCTTTACTTGAACTAAATCTGGGAGTAAATGGCCCTCTCAGTGTTTACCTTGGGTATGGATAGCTTCAGGCTCTTGATAGGCTGAGACTGTTCAAAGACCTGGACCTCCTCAATGATATGGGCCCCACTTGGCAGCAGCACTGCTTTGTGTAAGTAACCAGATTCTGAAACACAGTTAGTGAAAAGTTAAAGATAATTTTAATACAGTGGACAGACATAATATTGAGTTGACAGGAACATCCATTTACATTGTGTTTCAATCCATATCTCCAAACTGTTCCCCTCAACATGTGAGACCAGTTTAACTCTACACAATACACTGAAATGTAACAAAAGAGATGAAGGTGAAGAAGAAGAGTATGTTTCATAAGCACAATACACTTAGGGATAAAACTATTTGGGACGTTGTGGAAGTTCACTATCTGTTAAATACTCAACTTAACATTTCAACATCTCGGGACTGAAATGAACAAAGATTACCAAGATAATCCTCACTGAAGTGCCTACAATATTCATAAGAGTGACACTATTCACCAGGCAGCATGACAGTGTGTATGGAATATAGATGAATTCTTGGCTGGTGTAAAATGACATACAAGCACTTTAATATTGATCTATAGAGAGTTCACCAGTGATCATGCTAACTTATGCAGTAGAGTTTTCAGTTCATCTAAGAGTTCGGCTACAGCAGAATCTATTTTTATGAGGATACTTATTATAATCTATGTATGTACTCAGTTTCTGAAATTGATCTGTTACTCACTAATAATGAATCTAGAAATTCTCCCTAAAGCACTTGGTCATTAGATTGTTTGTGTATGATGCTGTTGAAATGGAAAATACTTGTACTATGTTGTTGTGTTAAGCATTTACTTGATTCTAAAAATTTTAGCTGCAACCACAATGTACAGTTCACAAATATGTTCACATTCTTTCCATTGGGTTCACACATTTCTACAAATATCTCATAGAAAATCTCTTTTGATTTAAAAAAGCTAAACAAAAGGACAACATCTAAGTTGCACATTGTATAATGCATGATTCCTTCAGTATGAAACTCTATTGCACCTGTGTGCACCTTCTTATTCAGAGATCATTCTATCCACCTAAATTTCAGAATAAAGAGGAAAAAAATGTTTAAAGACAAAGTGAAATAATCATGATAGTTAAAATAGGATCTGTTAAAATACCTGAACATTGATGCTGTGAAATGATTGGTGATCACATAACCCCCTCATGTTCTCATGCGGTGCCTTAATGGTATAAATCCTCATCAACTTTATTACTCTCCTAATTAAAGATGTCCAGGGTCTGTTGCTGCTCAGGTTCTTTTAACTCCCTTGCTGATGGGTTATCATTTAGATCATTGTTTGTGGTTGTCAGCGAAGTAGTATGTGATCATAGCTTTAAATATCGTCTTGACTCCCTGTAAGGTTTGTTTGTAGAGGGTACACCAAAGTGGCTCTCTGTTCAGGTTCCATGTCTAACAGGTTACATCCTCTTGGACCAGAGCTCTCAGTTTGTCTCTACAGTCTTCAAAAAGATCTGAGATGCCCCACTGGTTGCAGATCTTGTCAGTAATTTGGATACTGTTTCTGTTAGATAGAACTTTATTGATCCCTTTGGGAAGACTCCCTCAGGGAAATTAAAATTCCAGCAGCATTACAGGAAATGAAAACAAAAATGATCTTGTCTCGGGTTTGCGGACACTTGGATGACACCATGAGCATTATGAAGTTAAGTTTTTTTTCTGTTTTGCTACGTCTGAAGAAGAGGGCACCTTGGCTGAAACACTGTTTACCCCTGAATTGTTAAACTTGTTTTCGTTCTTTATGAAATATTGACAGAAAAAATTATAATATGGTTGGCTGCCAAAATCTAGATAATTACTCGGAAACACTGCCTCCAGTTTGCGAGGCAGCGTACTCTGTCCGGAAATGAACTGAGAACTGATGAGATGAACAGTGCTCGTTTGTGCTGTGCAATGAGTTTGTTTTATCTGACGTAACTCTGACTGGCACCCAACTCAAACCAGCTAAAATCGTACCTACCTGTAAGCAGAAACAGGACAGTGTAGTCTCTGCTGTTGGCAGCCTGGACCCTCTGAACAGTCAGGTGGCTGTACTTATGCTCAGCAGATACCATGGTCAGACTTCTTCCAACTGGCCGAACACTGTCGTCTGTCAGGAAATTTTCTTTGACAAAGCGCAGGGCGTTGTCTGATGCATTGTGCAGTCCACACTACCACACAACAAGGCAATTAGACAGTAGTACTAATGAAACTAATTTGTTTACAGTTTCATTGTATTAAAATGATTCTTACATGTAGAACTGCATTTATCCGATCCATCATGTCCTGGGTCTTATTGTCACAGTTTTGCCCATCATTTGTTATTTATTATTCGATCTAACTGAGGAGTTGATCTGTGAACCATTATACTTACAACAGACGTGTGTTATCATTTTAATTGTTCATTTTCACTTTTTCTTTGTTTCATGTTTCTCTCAGGAGGTTTGTTTCAATCCTGTCTGATTGTCTGGCTGCTTTGCTTCTTCATTTCTGTTACAGATGTGCTCACCGATCTCAGCTTTTCACTTCGTAGAATGTTATTGTAGGTTTTAAAAAAGGCCCTAGACGAAATAAAGCTAATAAACTTAATCTTTGGCTGCTTCAAACTATATGGAACTGAAACATATAAGGTGAGTTCAGCTTGTTATGGCCAGTATACCTGCCTGCATGGCTTATTGTTTTACAGACTCCTAAAGAGACTACTTGTTTTCTTCTCATATAAATTAGGAGTGACCATTTACCTCTCCTGGATTTGCGACCTTCTCTTGAACACGTGTGCTCCACTGTAACGTGTCTCGGTTTAGGACTTTGTAGTTACCAGAGAAAACTGATTTGATGTCACTCAAACGGAATGAACACACTGCTGATTGTCCAGAATTTACAGACCTGGTAAAAAAAAGATAAACATTAATCACTTATTAAATGAGAATTACTGACAAAATCCACATCATGCTTCAGCACACAACTACTGATTTCTCCTCATGAAAAAATAATAGGAATGACAGAAATGGGCCAGAGCAGTGTGAAGATATTGAGGTTTCCTGCTGATCGAGCTTCACATAGGGTGTATCCTTACTGCCTTTTCAAACTGCCACTCTGCTCTGTCCAACTTTTGTATGCTGCCTTTGTTTCCTCTGTGTAAACTGTAGATGCATTTTATTATAGTAGGTATTTATTTTAATGACATCACTCCACCCTTCTTTTTGTGTGATGAAACAATTTAAAAAATGTTCAGCTAATATTGCACCATTTGGGGGCAGCTGTGGCTGAGGGGTAGAGCAGTCGTCCTCTAACCAGAAGGTTGGCAGTTTGATCCTCAGTCTTCCCAATCTGCATGCCGAAGGATCCTTGGGCAAGATACTGAACCCCTAAATGGCCCCTCATAGATACTAAATGCACTAATTGTAAGTCGCTTTGGATATGTCCGCTAAATGACATGTAATGTAATTTAACTTGATTTACCACACTGCAGTTGTTTGCCCAAGTCAACCATTGAAGTTTTGGTTAACATATTTCTACATAATTTATTTTCTAGATTCATATAAGGTTTTGCTGTGAAAGGCAGGGTTGGTTTGCCTGTGGAWATTTAAAGGTAAACATCTCCACAATGGACCATTAGATGTTGTGTCTGTGCATCACACCTGTCATTAAGTAGTGAGTCTATTTCTTTCCTACACTCACTGGCATTCAACTTGCTGATGGATTCAGGAGAGCCAGGGTTCAGGCTTTGTGCAAGCTTTTCTACACAGGGGTTCTCCATTGTTGGGTCRGAAATTGAAGGATTAGATTTACAAGTTTAATAAATCAACCAAGCATTGTGGTTGGCTATGGTGTTGTTCTAGCAGACACATTGTAGTTTAGTTTTTGTCGTACACTGGCCCAACCAAAACTATGGTGGGTAAATCAGTTTAGCAATATGTTTTAATCACACTAACTGATATGCAGTTACAGGTTCTATAAATTCACAGGACTGGCAGCAGGCTGTGGCTCTTTCTCAGGCTCTCTTATYCAATTTAGGCTGGAATGCTTGGCAGAAACAGCCAGGTACAAGCCCTGTTACATAGGGTTGTTGGCATGCTATGTATTAATTAAACAGCACTTAACAGTTACAGGAAATTTTACAGCTTGACCAGTCAACACTGAATATGTGATATTTAAATTTTAAAAGAAATTCTTTACATTTCAACAAAGAATAATCAACAGGAGTTATTAACAACTATAGCAAGCTCTTAGCGTAACACTATGAGGACTTAAAATGGTTGTTATTAATAATTAATCATCAATAAAAAGTTAATTTATGAATAAAATTAATTTCACCATAATATACTCGTTTGTAAGTATGGTTGAATGTATATTCTGGTGGAAGTCTAGTGGAATTGAATTCAAACCTTTGTCTTGACTAAAAATCCAAGAGTCCACTTATTTATGGCGTTAAGGAATAATTAATATTGCATAATTATGAATGATTGCCAACTTTACTCTGCCTCACATGGGGCACCATAATGTTGTGATTATTAAACCTTAAGCGTGGCATCATTAAATGGTGTGCCTTTGGGCATTCAATACATTTGGAAATCAGAAAAACATTAAAGCTTTCTCAGGGCACAACCCTTCATGGAAGGAAAAAGATAGCCAATTTATTGATTAGGTCTCATGAAATTACTGACTACAAATTTGAATCT